TATAGATCCATTAAAATTAGAAGATACATTTTGGAATTTAAAAGATAAAAATGGAGAAGCCATAAGACAAGTATCTTAGGTATGGTAGTTAGTAGGTAACTTATAAGTGTAACTTTTAAACAAATAATAACTAAAGTTATACATATGGCTAATATAATACTCTCTATATAGTTAACCCCGATAATCAAGAAACCGTTACTATAAGTCAAGCACATCGTCTCTTGACTTTGTATAAACTGGGACTAAGATAAACTTAACACGTGACCAGAAGAATTGAACCTGGACAATCCGATAATATCCCTAAAACCCGGACCAAATCTTCCACGCCTCGATTGTCGCCTTCCAATTACAGAATTAGGGCTTATTGTTGGATTTGAGTTGACAGATTAGCCCCGGATAAGTTTCGGTCTAAAACCGATTTAGACCCTCACAACGTGCATAAATGCGTCGCACTATCAAAAACCAAGCGACGTCAAACAAAGGAAATAGTAAGCCACAGCTTTTGGCTTCAAAAAGGCGGAATTTTTAGTAGAATATTTTAGAAAAAACGACTAAAATCAAAATTGAATTAATGAGAGTAAAACCTACCCGTGAAAAAAATAAAGAACAAGCGGAATAGCTATAGTGATGGGTAAAACCTAGAAATAATGATAGGATAATTACATATCTTACAAAAGTAAAAATACAAAAAAAAACTTTTTACTCGCCAAATCTTTTTCGTCCAAGTAGAGAAAGTTTTACCTCACTTTTTAATGGAAAGAAACGGAGCAGAGATGATAATGCAGTTGAAAACCTGAAGAGGAAAGTGGCCGATTCTGAAAGGAATGTGAACAGTAGACATTATTAATGATTATAATAATGATGTAACAATTTCTCCGATAAAGGTTTTCCCAGCTGAGGCGTACGATTTGGTGAGTATCTCTTTCTTATCTTTAATCATTATTCCTTTCACTGGTCAAAAAAATTATATTTTACAACCGGTAGGAAATATATGGTTAAATATAGTACAGATCCTTACTTAATTAATGGGTAATAGATAATATTTAAATATAATTATTATATTTTAATAATATATTATCTAGTAAAAAATACCACTTTCTACGTACCAGTGTAATAAAAAAAATTTTTTTGTATCATTCAAATTAAATTAATGATAATTTTTTACCAAAAAAAATATACTAAATTTTTAATTATTGGAATTTAAGTTAAATGGTTTTGATAATACAGAAAGCCTAACCATGTTATCAACCTAGCACACATTCAAGAGGTGCTTGTCAAACTGCTAATATATGACATATTGCCTAAAAAAGCTCCCTAAGATATATTTTAGAGCCTTGTTTTATTATAAAAAAATTTTGGGCCAGCGGATAATACAAAAAAACTTTACGTGGCCTAAGTTATTTAAAAAATTAGATAATTAAAATTTATAAGTATAAAATAAATGTGTTACGATTGTATGTGGTATATTTAAAATTGTTTTAAATTGAAGAATGATTTGAATAAAATTTGAATTAGAAATTCTAAAACCCTTATTTGATTATAGGTCGGCTATTGATAATGATTCATTAATATAATAAATTAAATTATGTTAAACGGGAAATTCAAGTTGAAGACTCCCAAAGGCAGTTATAACTGAAGATAGATAAGCCTTGAATATTCAGAGTATTAGGAAATGTTCTTTAACAAAAAAAACGTTTGCTCTATACACTATAAATTATAGTTGTTATCCGAAACCCGAAACTATATATAAAATCCCGAAACCGAAACCGAAACCCGAAACCTGAAACCCTTCCCGAAACTCTAACACTATACTGAAAGACAGAAATTTAATTTTAAACTTTAAGACTTAAAGTATAGAATAATTAGATTGCATTTCAGGAACATTTTGGTTACTTTATAGTAAATATGCATTAATTATTAACATTCTAATTTGAAAGTTTCGGAAAGGTTTCAGGTTTCGGGTTTCGGGTTACAAGTATAATTCATAACAATGTGATACCACCATTAGCTTCATAAATTATGTATATAATTCTTAATCGTTGTAAAAAGTAGTGTAAACTTTAAATATAATGTATATATTTTTTTTTATTCTAACCATATATCTTATTAAACGTTATCTAACATTTTTTTCTCTTAAAGAACTTTTCACAGAAAAAAAATTTCTAGAAATGAACGAAAATTAAAGTATGGTTTTAACATGTAAAAATTATTTAACAAATCAGATTTTTTTAATTAACAAAGATAGTCTCAATAAATATAAATCGATTCAGAACTAACGAATTTCCAAACGCCTAACCACAACAATTGTAATATTTTTATAACCGCACTTACCTTGATTACGCGCAATAATTTTTTTTTTTTAAAAAAAAAACCCAAATCAAGAGATCAAGTACACCCTATTCCCAGTTTTAGCGCGACCACGTCGCGCAGCTACCTAAATAAGACTTTTTTTTTGATAAGGTATTTTCGCAGAATTTATCTCTAAATTACACCAAATTATATTTGAATACTAATACGTATTTAGTGTTAGCAATAGAGATGGGCAACATGCAATAATTTTATATGTTCGTATGTTGCCCTCTATAATTAGCAGGTCTTTTATTTCAAATTCGATGAATTGAAATAGAATTGTGAAAGTCTAACAAAATATAACAAAATATAACAATAAATTAATTCCAAATTAATTGTACACAAATCGCTTGTCCCGAATAAATTTTAAACAAAATTTTCTGAATAAAAAGTAACATCATCACCAGTTAAAGTATTCATTAATTAATATAAAAAAAAAAAATCCACTACTTTTACACATGTCTACTACATTATCATATCCACTTTATAATTTTGTTAATATTCTTCCAAGTTTTTAATTTTTTTTAATTTTATAAATTAAAATACAATTAATAATTTTTTAAAAAAGCAATTTTTAATAAAATATAGTTTGCTAACGAATTACTAGATATATTTACACATAATAAAAACTACAAAGAAGCATCAACAGAATTCTCATTAGCATGACGTTTAATGAATTCCACAGCTTTTTTAGCATGGCCTTCTAAATCTGATTGAGACTCGAAAACGTCTTGAATTTTACCATCTTTATCAATGAGGTAAGTCACACGACCAGGCAAGATAAGAAAGGATTTTTGAACCTTTATTTTAAAAAAAACAAAATTTATAGTTTTATAAAAAATATTTAAATGAATATTATGTAATATATTTATGTAATATTTGAATGGATCAAATAAAATCAAATTAGAACAATTACCTTAAATGCTTTTTTTGCCTTATCATCTGGATCAGATAACAATTGATATGGTAAATTCTGTTCTTCTGCAAACTTTTTATGCATTTCGGGTGAATCGGAGGAAACACCAAACACAACAGCACCAGCTTCGGAGAAAACAGTATGAGAATCCCGAAAATAGCAGACCTATCGATTACCAAAAAAAAAAAAAAAAAAAAAAAAACATTTATCACTAAATTTTTTTTTTTTTTTTTTAAAAAAAAAAAAAGTTACATTAAAAACTTATATAAAAGTAATACCTCTTTAGTACATCCATATGTTCTGTCTTGAGGATAAAAAAATACAACCGTTAGCTTTTTACCAATAGAATCATCCAAGTTAATGTCTTCCCCATGCTGATTTTTTAAAATTAAGCCTCTGGGAGCTGGCTGGTTAACCATAGAATGAGGCATTATTGAATATTTACAGTTACTTTGATGTTGGATAAAAGAAGGGTTATTGTAGAAAAACTTTGTAGGCCGATGACAAAAAAGAGGTTTTACGGATTTAAAAGAGGAAAATTGAATAATACAAGTTAATCGGTTCATTTATATGTTTTTTTTTTCTTAACAATGCCGATGATAATTTATGTAATTAATATTATTAAGCGTAAAAGGCTAAATAATGTTTCATGATCTCATATTATCACACGCTTATTTTTTTTAAATTACTGTTTGAAACAAATTTTGTAAATTAATAAAATAGTTAGCGTTAGTTGATATATATTTGTATAAATTAAAAGCTGGTTGGCGTATCTTGTTTTAGATTCGATCACAATACCTGAAATCAACCAATTAGATCGTTTAAAGTAACAATACAGTGTGCAAAATTCAAACATATAAAAAATCTACTACGTATACAAATGTTTTATTATCTATTATTGATATTTCAACTTCGAACATTGGTACGTACTAATATAGAATTTATTTTTTAAAGAGTAGTTCGTCTTTGAAACCAGGAGTCCAATGAAGCGCTAATGAAGTTCTGAAACGATACAATGAATAGTAGTCTATTAAACTCCCATTCCCACCATTTCTAACTCTGTCTAAAGAGTATAATAAAAAGTTAAACTTAGTTATAAGATATATGTATTTGATCATATGATTAAAAATTTTTTCATCGGAGTTGATTATACAATTTTTCTAATGTTGAAATACAGTAGAGGCCTGATAAAATAAAAAGTTCTGCCCGCATTTTACTATGTTATTAGCATTTCTGACCTGCAATTTTACTATGTTTTAAAAAAATTTCAATTTCGGGAACCGTTATTTTGACAATATCCCGGAATAAATTATGCTTAAACGGTTGATTCGGTATCTGGTTAAATAAGAATGGTGAGAGATAGGGACTCCGAAGTTACAAAGTAGAATATCAATGAACGTTAAAGACGAGCAAGGTACGAGCAAGTCATAAAATTTTCAGGAGAGTATTCCTTACGTCGGCATAAATAACATAAATTAGCGGGTCAACCGGTTCACATAACAGGTGAGTAAACCGGAGCTAGCAGGCCACACAAATTTGTATAATTGATTTTCATATCCCAGTAAGGCGGGGTTTGTAAAATTTTTTTTTTATAATGACCAATAGAAATTCTCTATTTGATCATGTGACCAAAGCGTAACAATAGTAAAGAAATTTTTAAATCTTGAACTGTCAATATACTGTATTGTATTTAAATAAGAGCAATGACTACAAAGCTATTAGAGTATACTGTAGGTTATTGTGGTCTATTTAGTGGAGACTAATCCCGGATTGTGAAAGAACAAAAAGTTAAATAATAATTTTTTTTTTACTAGTAATCAACTAATTAGCATAGCTACTGTATGTTACATAACTAGAGAAAACGAAAAATCCCTGGACACCATTTAAATCTCTATTAATTCGAGCCAGGGCTTAAAATGCCATAGTATTTTACCTGCCATTTACAACGCAAATGGTTTATCGTTTTTGATCCATCAAAAATTAAATGTAGTATATCAAAGCTAACAATAGCAGTAAATTATATATCAAGAATGACACTTTTTGAATGGCAGGCAAAATATTATGGCATTTTAAGCCCTTTGTTAATTTAACCGAGACAATGTTAATTAACTATTTGGGCTAATGAATTGATTATTTACCGTAATCTATTAACTAAGTCAATACAATTGAACATAAGTTACGTAAACTTTTTTGGTGTAGTTAAAAAAAAACAATTGTAAAAGCGTCGTTGATAAATATTATCATATAAATAAAGTTTACACTTAATCACTGATTTTAAAACAAATACAACACTTATTTTTATTCGAAATATATGTTTGATTTTTAATTTTGAACTCTCCTAATACTAGCATTTTACATTTACTGTATATAATTTAGTAACTGATTATTATCGATCTCAAATTGAAATAGTGGCCATTTACTGCGCCAAACTCATTGTTTTAAATGTCTTTCAAATATAATGTGAATCAAGGATAATATTTTACAAATAGCCACTTTCAATAGGTCGCTTTAAGAACTCATCAACTATATTCGATACTTCAAAGTCCATTTCATTTCCATGATGTTAATCTAGATTGTAGTCTATCAAAAATTCGTATTGCTGAAACTTTATTCATATTTTAACATTTTAACTAAAGCGATAGCGATAGTATATATTTTATATCACTAAAACATAAAACATTATGATGGCATCACTGTGCCCCTAAAAAGGCAAGTATTTATTTCACCAAAAATCTTTAAAACAATCGAAATTTTTTAACATACAGTATAAGATGGTCTCATTATATTGATGATCCTACGTAATTGTTGGTTTCCCTTAGGTGTTATGGCTTATAAACTCCGAAGAAAATATGTAGAAATCGATTTTGGTTATACCAGTTTTTTTTTTTTTTTTAAGCCCATGATAATTATAAGTATTTAAGTATATTACGTAATTAACCACAATTATTGATTAAGGTGATCGTCATACGTATAAATCTAACTTGACGGACTTTTCCTTCCGGATTGCATTCTGTTGGTTTTTTTACCTCTACAAATTCCAATATTTATTGACGACAATTGATTGATATTATCAATTAATATTTTGATATTTTGATCAAAAGAATAATAATAAAATGTCATCTAATCAACAAGAAAGTGATGTTATCTTGGTTCAATTACTTTCTTTTGGCTTTGATGAATGGATATGTAAAAAGGCAATCACTTGCAATAAAACCGTGGAAGAAGCTGCTGAATGGTTTGTCTTGATAAAATCTTTTTAATAATAATTCATTTCTTTAATGTTAAAATGTTATAATATCTTATTATATAATTCAGGATTTTGAATTCTTTGGATATAAATTCTGGTGTTAAACCAAATTCTTCAAGTAATACCTTGGTTTTGCGCCGATCCGATTCTTCCGAGAGCCCTGCTGCGTCAATGATGATTGATGCTGAACGGTCATCATCAGCCTCTGTAGGTAAATTTTACAACATATTTCTTTTTTTTTTATTACTATATTAAATTATTTTAAATGATTTATTATTTTTTTTCCATCAGTCTGCTTCTACTTCAAAACAAACTGTTATATCACGTTATTCTACCGCAGATGATAATTCTGAATATGCTAAAGAATTGAAAGCAAAAGCTGCAAAAGCTGTTGAGGAAGCAAAGAAATCAAAGCTTTTAGAACGAGAAGCTCGTAGAAAAACTTTATTAGCAATTAAAGAGGATCGAGAGAATTTGAAAATACGCAAGATAAGTCATAAAATAGATGGTGGTAGCTCTGCAAGTTCTTCTTCATATTCTGCTCCACCACAAAAGACAGAACAATCCGATTCAACTCTTATTCAAATTCGTTTATCAACTGGCCGGGCAATACGTCAAAAGTTTCTTAATACTGCTCTTGTATCTGACCTATTCAGTTGGGTTGTTAATAATAATGAACCAAGCAATAAGTTTCATTTGGTTATACCTTTTCCGCGAAAAGTGTTTGATGATGCTGAGATGAGTTCGACTCTTGCAGATGCTGGTTTAATTCCAAACGCTTCGTTGAATGTAGTAAAATTAGATACTTCTTCTATTATCGCACAAACTCCGATAACTCGTGATAAAAATTTTATCACTATTAATGAGGGATTAAATACTGATGATGATGATGATGGAGATGATGGAAACAATATAAGTCAACCTTTACCAAACGTTCCTAATCTACCCCCCTCAAATGTTAGGCAGCATTTTAATCTTCCTTCTGGACAACAAGGAATTCCCTCAAATTTATCTCAATTACCTGCAACACAATAAGCACATCTTGACTTTAAAGTGCCAACTTCACGTCTAACACCATGTTTTACGTATTGCGAATTTTCAGCCAAAGTAGTATCATCTGTACGTGCTCGTGCCTGTACAGCTTCAGCGATACGTTGTCTTTTTTCATCATCTGTAATAAAGAAAGTTAAATAAGACATAGAAAGTATTAATAAATTTCAAAAGTAATTTACGAATATTACATTACCATCAGAATTATCATCAGAGTTCAGTTGAAAATTTGGCTGATTATTAGTTAAGCGAAAACCAGTGCCAGAAAATGGTAACGATCGGACAAGATTGTTACGATGCAAGTGAGGAGGGCCAGGAATTCGAGGAGGAATTCCTGGTTGGACAGCTATATGAGGACGTCCATTTG